TAATAAACAAGCCACTTTTATCTCTTACAGAAGTGGGAGAAAGAGGCATTTCCCACCTGTGAAATTATATGCTAAAAAGCCTTATTTGAAAGAAGGTGTTGCTACATGGCTACTGAACAGAGCTTTAACAATAAATTGTGGTGAAGACAGAACCAGCTAATATCGTTTGAAGGAAATAGGAGCTTTTTGTGGCAAGGAACCATTTACTTTGGATTATATCATAAGAAGTTTTTGACTGCAGTCAAAAGTCTGGAGACCGGGGAATGGGATTTTCCTTCAGAAGTAAAAGTTTGTGGTGCAGCATATGTGGGTAGTGAGTTCCTCTGTCTTCCCTTTCTTTGTTATTCCCTGTTATGCTTCCTTTTGCTGGGAAACTTTGAAGTTTCCATTTTCAATATTGATATTTGAGGCTGGCCTAATTGGAAGGGGCTAAGCAACATTAATCTCTCTGCGCGCTCTGTCAGTGCTGCTGGGAAGAGGTTAACAAGCCCATTGGAAGTTATACTTTTCTCCCCTCCCTCAGGAACTGGGTTTAAAACCTTCACAGGGAAGTGTTTAATGTGTTTTCATTAAGTCAGGTTTTCTCTCTCCTGTTACAATTCTGCTTTCAGACCTCACTTCGTTTTCAGCATTGACTTTCTCGGGCTGGTGTAGCCCATGCCCATGCAGAAGGTGTGTGGGGCACATTGTGGTGGTGGTGCAGGTAACTCCTTGTGTTCCTGCTGTCCTCATCAGTGCCAAGAAAGCACAGAGGGCTTTTGAAGGTGGCAACATCTCTAGCACCAATCAGTTCAATATTTACTGTGGGTGATTACTTTGCTATTAGATAGCCTGGATGCTTTGCTGAATCAGAACTTGGGTCTGGAGATGTTAGGAAGAAATTCTTCCCTGTGAGGGTGCTGAGGCGCTGGCACAGGGTGCCCAGAGAAGCTGTGGCCGCCCCATCCCTGGCAGTGTTCAAGGCCAGGTTGGACACAGGGGCTTGGAGCAACCTGCTCTAGTGGAAGGTGTCCCTGCCCGGGGCAGGGGTTGGAGCTGGAGGAGCTTTAAGGTCCCTTCAACACAAACCAGTCTGGGATTCTATGATCCCGTATCTCTCAACGTCACTCCAAACCAGTCTGCTTTTTCCCCTCAGTTATTCCTAAAACTTGCCTTTTGAGTCAAGTGCTTGTGGAAGTCTCCGTGTTGCAAATTACAGGGAGAGCTCTCACATGAGCTTTAGCTTGAAGGCTCAGAGACCAGAAAGCCACCAGTGGTTGTTTGCACAGAAAACTCAAGACTTTGGATGCTGGGGAGCAGATGTATGATCCCGTCTGTTGATCAACCAGGATACCAAACCTTGTGCAAAAGAAGCCATGTTTAGACATGATGCTTTGTATGATGGGTCATTGGGGCTTTCCTTACTGCAAATCCCCGGGAGTTGCAGTGAACCCCACACACTGATGCTCAGACCCCATCTGGTTTGTGCCTCAGGATTGAGTCTTGTGCTGGTCTTTTGGTGTGTGAGACACATGGGGCTACTGCACATCTTGAACGTGGATGCCTGGTGTGTGCCATGGGCTGCTTCTGTGCCTCAGCCTCCTTTGAGCTGGGGACTTCTTTATTTAAACACCTATTTTTATCAGCTTTGCAATCTCCAAAAGCTCAGTTTCTTTGTCAGAAAGGACTGAAATTGGACGGTGAATTTACACTTGCCACGAGGGACACGCACGTGGTGATTTTCTTCAGGAAACAAGGCTAAAAATAATAATAATGATTCATAGAAACACTGTGGAAAATACTGGTTTTCTGGTGGATGGAACAGGTAACATCCAATTTTGTATGTTATTAAGCTGCCTCCACATTCTGAGCTCCTGTACAGATGACTTTCTCTGCAAACTGCAATTTAACACAGCGTCATCTTTCAAAGCCAGTGTCTGCTACAGTAAACTGGGGGATGTTATTTTGACAGTGAGGTGCTTGCTTGGCAGTTATTACTGAAGAGAACTGATCTTGGGGCTTCCAATTATGGGGTTTTCTTAGAGGAGAAAAAGCCCTCTAAGCATCACTGTTTGCCTTTGGGGAAGAGCTGACTCAAGCATGTGTGACCTGGACCCATAGAGATGGGGTAAGGGAAGACCCTGTCTCCTGCACCCGGATGCAGAGCGGAGCTGAGCGCTGCTCCGTGTTTCTGGTTCTAAGGCAGTACCATGTTCAGGACTGTGGATGCTTCCTGCAAGACACTTGCCGATGCCATCCCCAGAAGGTTTGGAGAGACCAAAACCAAGGGGTTTGCATGTTGTAACAAAAGGAGCTCCGAAACTTTGCCAGATCCAGTTGAGAGGCATGCAATTGCCTGATCGCATCCCAAGGCTCTCATTAAATAACCCTGTGGTGAGCCAGTGCGGAGGTGACCGCATTCCCTCTCTGTGCCATGGGCTAATCCCACAGGAGCTGCTGGTGCGAGTCCCAGCCGTGGCAATTCCCGTTTGCAATCCCTTCTGGTGCCGTCGTGAGATCCGTGTTTTATCCTTGCTGCTGTTGTTGCTTTCTTTTTTCTTGAAAAGAAAACCCCAAAGAGCGTTAAACTGTGTCTGTGTCTTGGCAACTGGAACACACGAACAGATTGTGCTTCCAAAAAATGGCAGAGTTTCAAAATATTGTATTCTGTGAAGAAGAGACAAGGAAAATAAACTCCCCAAAGTGCAGATTCTGTTTCGCCAGAAGGCGGAAGGCTTTTCATATTTATTTGGGTTTGGTGTTTTGCTACCTAGCTCTTCTGCTGACACTGCTTGTGAACCATAGAACATTAAATGCTTGTGCAACCTGCTCTGGTTCACGTTCAAATTAGGTTCGTTTCCAGTAGGTTTGTTTTCAGCTTCCCATTGCTGCCTGAGAGCAGGTTCCTGAGGTTCAGGTACAGCACGTGGGACTGTGCAAGCAAATCCATGAAGGAAAGAAAGGCGAAAGGGAAGAACAGAGGGAATTTGTGCATGTTTCTCTTCTGATTTTGGTTGTTGTGTGAATGTCGTTGCGGCAGTGTGGATGTAGGGTTGGTGTGTAGATGCCAAGAGGCATCTGATGAGTGTTAATAGAAAGAGCTCAGCTCTGGAGCTGAAGAGGCAGATCCTGCTCCTATGGGCAAGTCAGTGAATCGCTGTGTCTTGATTTCCATGTGCAAAATCAGGATGGAGCTACTGCTCTTCCTGTGCCCGTGGTTGTCTTGTTTGCTTGAACTGCATGAGAATGCAGGCGGGTTGTTGAAGGCAGAGATGTTGCTGAGATGGCAGACTTAGAAATGCCAGAGAAACAGGCTTTTTGTCTGTCTGCACTGCAAGACCTGTGTTTTTGAGATTCCTTTTTTAGCTAAAACATGACAACACCAAGAACACCGGTACCTGTTTAGCATCCTGTCAGATCCAATGTACGTTGGCATAGCTTGGGCAAGAAGCGGTATCTGGAGCATGTAGCACAGCAGAGCTTGCTTCTGTGTTGTGCCTTCTAGACACCTTTGTAGTACAACTGAGAAAACTAGAAGGAAAAGGTCAATGAACAGCTCTGCTAACTAGAAATGCCTCCACTTGTTCCGAGAGTGTTTTTTGCTTCCTTACAGACCACCTTTTACCTCTTGGGAAAACCGAGACGTGTTCTTCATGCTTCTGGGTGACCTTCCTTCTTTTATTTTACCTTTTTGCGTTAGACTGGAAGCTCCTTAGAGCAGAGAATTGGGTTTTTATTCGCCCTTTCCTAAATTTGCAGCTCTGTTGATTTCTGATCCCAACAGCAAGTGTGCACCGTGGCTTGCAATAAATGCTTTTCCCACGAGGTATCGGCTGGGTTGCTGCAGCCTGTCTCATCCTGGAATGACTCTTTGCCAAAAGATCCTGTCTTTTGGAGCAGATAAGATAAAAAGAAAAGATGAAGAAAAGAAAATCTGTCAATCTGAATTGGCTAATTGCATTGAAAAGGTCATTTTCAGTTCTGGGTGCCTGCACTTTTAACTAGCATCCCTCTGGCATTGGGGTGCACAGACATCTATTGACATGAGTTTGTGTCAAGAGGAAAAATAAACTCAAACATGTATAGGTGAAGTCTGAGAGTGTTGGGAATAGAAGGTAAAACTGATGCCTAAAAGAAAGACCGTAATTGATATAAGTTGTTAGGTTAAAAATGTTGTTTAATGCCTAAATTAGATGCTTGTGCCTTTTTTGGGGACCAGGGATTTTATTACACAGCCAAACAGCCAGATGTTTATCTTGGGGTTTTGGTGACATGACTTATGTTTTCAGATGATTTTAGCCATGAATTCAAAGCCCCGTGCTGAAATGTGGCTGTATATGTTTAGTCATAAAAAGGTTCTTGTATTTCTCTAGTCTGCCTGGCCCTTGTGTCTGCTGGTTTGGACCCCCTTTACAGGAGAGCCTGCATTTGAACTGCTTCAGAGCTTGAGCTTCATCCAGCTCAGAGAAGCTTGGCTGGTCAGTGTGAACAGAAACAAATGGCTTTGAAGCCTGCAAACTTAATTCTGCTTTAGTTTTTGCTGGGTTTGCACAACTTTAATGACCAAGAGGTGAAACATCCATTTAAACAGAATCAGAGTCTGGTTCTGGACTTTCAACTTTAAAAAGATTTTTACTTCTGCCAGGGTTTGCAGTTCTGTATCTGGAATGATTTAAAATCTGAGGAACATTTGAAGGGATCCTATGTGGGTAGGGCTGACAGAGGAGAAATACCTTTCACTTTGCATTTCCACATGGCCTGCCTTTGCCAGAGCTGTTGCCTGCTTTCTGTACCAAGTTGGCAGCCAGACCTTGCAGGTCTAAATGAAGCGTTACTGAACAAAGGCACTTTATGTTTTGAACTCTGTGCCCTGAGACAACACCACCAGCCTGGCCGGGCATTTATGTTAAATAAGGTCAACAAATATAGACAAGCTGTGTTCTGCACATTAAACCAAAACAACATAACAACAACAACAGAAAAGCGCCTTTCTTTAATTCTGCCTCTTTCTTGTTTCACAGGCAAGAAGAGAAACCCTGGGCTGAAAATTCCTAAAGAAGCATTTGAGCAACCACAGACAAGTTCCACGTAAGTCTGCAAACACTAAGGCAGAATGAACAGAAAACCACGAGCCCCAGCTGCCTTCCAGCCTTTGCTGTGCCTGCGCTGCCAGGGCTCGGGCTTGCAGGTCTGGGATAACAGGGGCCTTTATGGATAATGGGGACCCTTATGGATCACAGGGACCCTTCACAAGGAACAAGGGCAAAATGCCTGGGTTAATATTGGCATCATTAGGGACAATAATATCCTAACAGTCCTTGTATTTCTCTTGTTGCCCCAGGTATAACCATGGGGTCTCAGCCTATCACTCTAACCCATCACTGCCCGTGGTGCATGTCTCATGTGCCCAGGAAAGGGAAGAACTGGAATGGGCACCCAGTTTCAACTGATGTGGCACTTTGGCCACCCAGTTTGAGTAACATGCATTTTGGTCAGGGCATAAAAATGCATCCCCTTCCCTACATATTGAGCCTTGCAAAAGAAATCCCTGTGTTTTTAAGGCAATTTGTGCAACTCCCGCCTGCTTGGCTCTCCTTGCTTCCTTGAGGACTGACTTTTATTAGCCTATTAACCCATGCTGTGTGACTTGGGTAATCATTTACAGGGGTTTAGACCTTTATGCCCATTTAATCCATTTTTCATTCAGGCTGGCAGAGATTTGGTGCTTGCACCTGGCTTGCCTTTCGCAATGCATCTCTCTGGGTTTCTGCATGGGGAAGTTGGATGTGAGAAAAGCCAACTCCAGCAGCTTCCTTCCTGTCCCCTTTTTGGGCTGTCTTTGTGAATGTTGGCTGTATTTGTTGATCCTGCAGAGCTAAGAGACTGGTTAGGCTGCTCAGGGCTGCAAGGGCTGCTGGCCTGAAGGTGTGAGGAGATGGCTTGGGGGTCCATAGTGGTTGTATTTACCCATCGAGGGAAACTAGATCTTTGTAAGTAACATTTCTCAGCCTTTCCCTTTTCTCCTTTGCAGGCCACCCAGAGATCTAGACTCCAAAGCCTGCATCTCTATTGGCGAAGAGGTAAGACTAGGAGTTGTAGTGAGAAGAAGACCTCCGGAGACAGATGACCATCCTGGGCTGGCTGCTCTGGTGTTGGCTGCTTGTGGGATTGCTTAACTTCAGCCCCACAGAAAAGGGCAGATTAATAAACAAAAGCTATTAAAAGCTTGAAATAAAAAGCAGTTGCTGGATGAGTAGAAGCTGAGAAGAGTGACCTACTGGTTGTCACCGCTCTGATGAACATATCCCCAAAAATCCGCCCTTTGCATCCTATGACACCTTGGTCCACTTCGTGTTTTTCACCTTGGAAATTCCTTCCTCACCTCATTATTCTAGCTAATCCCCCCAAAATAACAATCATAAATGAGGGGATTGCTAACAGCAGATTTTACTCTCCTTTGCAGTGCCTTTGCTGATTTAAAGCTGTCATCCCAAGTATTTCCCTTTGCTAATATTGAAGGCAATCTCATCAGGAGTCTTAACTCAGGGTGGATCTTCGGGTCCTGGAAGCAAACCCTTGTGACAGCGTGGAAACCAGTCCACCTGATGGTCTGAAAAAATAGCAAGGAAAAACCAAACCAGCTATTTTGATAAGAGAAAAAACAGCATAGCAGTGTTCATAAAAGCATTTTAAAGCTGGGCAATAAATTCATTAGGTGTAAAAGATAGGTTTTGGTGTCAGCGGGTTAATGCATGAAGTGAAATGCTAATCCAGTAGTGTTTTATAATGTTGGTCTTTGGAGGCTTTTCTTTCATTTTGGATTTTGTATTTTCCCTGGCATGGAGCAGGGGCTGGAAGGTGAAAAGAGTGTGAGATGCCTCTGGATCAAAATGGTGCAGCACCGAGGCAAGGAAAACGCCTGCTGCTAGAGCAAGCGCCCGCTCCAAGAAAATCATTTCTCCCCTGCAGTCCTAGGCATGAGGAAAGGATTAGGCACTCCAAAAGGGCTCCATGCATGGAGGCAGAAAGCCCATGTTGGGTGGTGCAAAGAGAAAGGCACTTGTGAAACCCAGAGCTCAGTTTTACAGACACAGGTATGTGGCTATCTCGGAGAGACTGGCATGCCATGGTTTGCATTTCCCTAAATGTCCAGCCAAGTTCCTTTAGGATGTGCTCCAGCAGCCTTTCCACACTCCCCCCTGATCCCTAGGGAAAGCCACTTTCCCTCCTCTCCCTTTGCTGCTAAATTGAAGAGTGGCCTTGAGAGAATCAAAGTGCTTCTTTGGAGAGGATCTTGTTGAACAGTGGGAGCAGTGTCAGGCAGGCAGAGATGCTTAAATCCCTCCTGTGACACAAAAGTGTGAGCCAGGGCTCCTTTTGCAGGCGATGGAGCTGCGAGGGAATGACACAGTAATGCAGTGTGTGGCCCTGCTCACTGTGGCATCCCCAGCCAGCACAGTTGGGGCTGCAGGGTTTATTTCTGCTGCGCCGGCAGAAAGCGGTGTGGGATTTGCACCGTGAATCAGTTCATTATAACCCGCTTCTTTCTGTAGGATGATTGACTGATGTGGTCGTGCATTGGGCAAACAGAATGGTTGGTTTTAGTAGCAAAGGCACTTCATAAGCATCCAAAAATAATAAGAAGCAAAAAATAGAGCTGCTGCACAATGTTGTGGCAGAAGGGAGAAGGGCAGGTTAGGATGCAGGGCTGCAAACGAAGTCACCCTCTGTGTAAGGCTGGAAGAAAGAGATCTCGAATGCTAGGCAAAGTAAATCATCCATGGTTTAAAAATGGGGCGCGCTCAGCTGGTATGTGGCCTATGTATAGGTCTGGAGCAATAAGCTTTTACAGGCCTTAAAAAACATAGAGATATTTCCATGATTGTTTGTGGGAGGAGGAGGTTAAAAGGAAAAAGCCTGAAGGTGATTCCGAGGGGAGAAGCTGATGCGGTGTTTTCCATCCAAGCTCTTCGAGGATGGGGAAGCTGAAAGTGCTGCAGCTGAAGGGGGTGGGATGGATACTTGGTTGCTGGGGGGAGCATCCCATTGAAGGGATGGTCCTTCCTGCGCCCACCCTGCTCAGGATTCTCCTTGACGCAGGCTCCCTGCTTGTGTCATTAGGAAGCACATCCTCATCAGAACTCTGCTAATTACCACACAGTAGTTAATCCTCCTAACAGCCTCTAAGGACTGTGATTTTGTTTCTAGCCTCATGAACACCGATAGGGAGGGGGATGCACAGAGGGGAATTTATTTGCAAGCAGGGTTAGATTTTAGGGGTGTTTCGCTCCTTGCTCTGTGCATACGCACAGCAGCCGCTTTTGCACTGATGTTTTGTTCCCCCACAGAACTTTGAGGTGAAAGCTGATGACCTGGAGCCCATCTCCGAGCTGGGACGAGGTGCGTACGGGGTGGTGGAGAAGATGCGGCACATGCCTAGCGGGCAGATCATGGCAGTGAAGGTAGAGTGAGCTTCCGAGGTGCTTTCTGTCTGTGTCGTTGTGTGTGGATGCTCTCGTTCATGCACATGTCTCATCTCGCTTGTTCTGATGCATGTCTTTACTGGGATTTACTGCTTTCCTTATGAAATCCTCTTTCTGCACAGGGGCAAAGAGTGACCAGGTGGGTCTGGGCCATTTAACCAAGAGAAGGGGTGTGTTTTAACAGCATGGTGTGTTCCCACCGTTGCAGTGCATACACCCATGTCTACAATATTCCTGTTTTCAGTAGGATTTTACAAGCTATTTGCCATCATTTTGTAAATATGCATATTTTGTAATGTGGATGTGCCCTCAGATTCAGGGCTCTGCACACTAATTGTAATGGTAAAGAAGAGTGTACTGTATTTTTAATTGCATAAGATAATTTTCTTTCCCTTGGAGACAGGGAAATGTCTATTTTGCAAAGCTATGGGGTCTGGGTGCAGGGCTGGAGCCCTCTGTCATGCAGTAGACATCACCAAAGTCTGCTGATGTAAATAGATGTCCACAGCAGCTCCAAAAGTCACAGATTTCTCTAGCCTAGCATTTGATTTCCTTCACACTTCTCCTCTCTCAAGCCACAGTGACTTTTGGCTGTTGCAGAAAGAGTGGTGTTAGCAGGGAAGAGAAAAATCACCTTCAGTTTGGGCTGAGAGGTGTGAAAAAAGGGTAACACAAAGAGGTGTGATAAAAGGGTAAAGGGTGATGTTAAGTCACTGTCAAGGCACAGCACGGGTATGGCTGTGGAACGGAGGTGCTGACAGCCAATGCTAAATGCTTTGTCTTCCAGCGGATCCGAGCCACAGTGAACAGCCAGGAGCAGAAGAGGTTGTTGATGGATCTGGATATCTCCATGAGGACGGTAGATTGCCCCTTCACTGTCACCTTTTATGGGGCACTTTTCCGAGAGGTATGGCATCCTGGACATCAGCCCTGCTGCCCCTGGGTGACTGGAGCCTCTCCCAGGCTCTGAATTCCCATGCCCAGGCTCCCTCCAATTGCCAGGGGTTTAATCTCCATCTAGATATGGAGAATTGGTACAATATGGATTTGTTCAATCCCAGCCTAAGGATCTGTTACATACAGTTACTTCTTGGTGAGCAGAGAGACGTGGTCCCATGGCAGGAAGAGCCCAAAGGTAGCCAAGCCCTAGTGCTGGGAATGGTTGAGGTCCCTGTGCCAAGATGCTGGGGCTTGGTGGTGAGTTTGAGTGATGGGGATGGCTGGTGCTGAGGACACCAACTCACAGCCTGCTCCATTAGTGTTAATATTGTCCTGACTTGCAATGTGAATGCCACGTGGAGGAAAAACGTGGAAAGCTCTGAAAAGCAAGATGTCTTGAAGAGTTTTAAGCATAGCTCTGCAGAGCTGAACTTGTGCTGACTGAGCATTTGCAGTGACTTGAACATGTAGGAGCTTCAGTCCTGGTAACTTTCTGGGCTCCTAAATCACTTCACTACCTCTAAATGGTAGTGCAGGTGGACAGCACTTAATTCCAGCTGGAGGGATACAGTTTTGCTGAGTGAGTATTAAAAGACAGGGAAGAGGCAAATAGGCCAGCAAAGGGCAAGTGCCAAAGAAGACCTTTGTAAAGGAAAGGATGCTTCATTCCAGTAGGCAGCTATTTGCTTTCTTTATCCTCCAGGGAGATGTGTGGATTTGCATGGAGCTGATGGATACCTCACTGGACAAATTCTACAAACATGTCATTGACAAAGGCCTGACGATTCCTGAGGACATCTTAGGGAAAATAGCTGTCTCTGTGAGTATTAGTTATTAGTATTAGCTGTGGGATTAGTATCTGTGGGAGGAGGAAGGGAAAGGGTATTTATCTTCTAAGCCAAGTCCTATATGACCCAAACTCCCTGCTGTATTTTCACCAGGAAGAGCATGGTCCATGGGCCAGCCCACATGGACATTCCCAGCTGGTTTCCAGTATGGTTTTTATAAGCCATAAATAATTCAACACGTGCCTGTGGATATAATTGAGAGATGGCACAGCATTAAATATGGGAGGGCCCTGCAGCTCCTTCGCCTTCTTATTAGGGATCTGGGAGATCCCTGGGTACCCACCATCACCTTGGGCTGCTGTGATGGTGCAGGACTTGTGGTGGGAGATGTAATTCCTTCCCTCCAGGCAGGTCTGGTGAGGATGGGGTGGGTGAAGCCAGATAGCATTTCCTCCTCATGGTGCTGCCAGCTGTGATTCACTCTAGATTTGTTGTTTCAGATTGTAAAAGCACTAGAACATCTACACAGTAAGCTCTCCGTGATCCACAGAGGTAAGTGCCAAGCTCACAGCCATTACCATGCTGTTGTCTGTCTGCTCTGGGCCACGTGCTCTCAGCCTTGCAGGGGCTGGCTTTGTGACCAGGCACAGGGCTCCCAAAATACCTGAGATAAAATGGGCCTTAGACAGCAAATGTATTCCCCAGCACCTCATGAGTAGCAAAACCTACTCGAAGGAAGTATCTGCTGTGTTTGCTCTTTAAAATCTGCATGCTGGTGCCAGGGTTTCCCCATCACTGGGCTTTGGATCAGGTTTGTGAAGGCTTCTCCCCTGGCTTGATGGCTCCATGTTGGCATGCAGCGTGAGGCATCTCCATGTCAGTGTGATGCCTCGTGCCATGATCTAACCATCCTCATCCCCTTCTGTGAGCTTCCCTAAGCACTGGTTGGGCAGAATAGTGTGATATTTAAAGTAGCCTCAAGTGAAGTCATAAATACCCTCCTTAAACATTTCACCTCTAGAGCATCTCAAAGATGCCATGGACACTCTTACAAAGAAACCAATTTGCAGTGTTGCTGCTGGACACCTTTAGTTTGAAAGGGTCATTTTCAATGTCATGAAGAGGAGAAAGCCCTCTCTGGAGTGTGTGACTGCCGGAGAGAGGAGCATCTGAAGGATCAGAGTTCAGCTCTATCCTGCAGCCACCTACTGTACATTCTGCATGTGGCTGGGGGTTGAGTTTCTGCCTTCTGTGTCATCGACAGTAGGTGGGAAATGCTGCTCGGTTTCTGCATTTCTGTTTACTTGTTTGATTTCCACTGAAAATTATCTTATTTCAGCATAGGAACAGATGGGTGAGGATCTCGGCAACCTGAAGCTTTTGATTGCAAAATGCTGATTAGAGAGCAGATGTTAATGAACTATAAATCATCCAGTTCTAATAGGCGGGACTCAAAAGCAGCTTCAGATGGTGTTTCAGCTCTGCTATTTAATAGTTTATCACATATAGACAGAGGACCTTCTTGCAGAAGAGACCTCTTATTCCTGGGTGGCAACAGGGGAATGATTGCTGCCTTTTGAGGATCAGCTGGGATAAGAGCAGACAGTGCTACCTGCACTGTGGTGAGATTTCAGCTGGTATTAGCCTCACAAGGAGTAGCTGCCTGCTGTGCAGGAGAGCACCTCCATGCTCTCAGGGATATCACTTAGAGCTTCTTCCTAAGCCTAAATTTCCCTTTCTGATGGTGATTTTAACTGCCTTCATGAGCATGATGCAAGTGTGAACGCACCAAGGATTATAAGGCCGTGATGGGAAGCGGATAAATCTTGCAGTAATAAATAGATGAGACACTGGCCTGATTTCCATAAGGTGTGGAGCACCCACACGCCTGCTGCTGTTCACATTGCTTTCAAGCTTGGTATCCTTAAAATTAGAGGCCGCTTCTGAAATCTTGATCCTTGTCTTGTTTTACTGCTCCTTCCTTCCCCTGCACCCCCTGCTTCTCTTCACCCTTTCCTGCCCATTCCTCATCCTTTCCCTATGGGTTTTTGTTCTACCTGTGGCATGAGACCGCAACCACCTGGGGACTTGCCAGAGCTCCAGACATCCTCTTAAGGGATGCCCTCAGCCCTGATGGGTTATTCCCCTGCGAGCGCTCCCATGTCTATGGGATACGCAGTGGGATACAGTGCAGTGGGATACGATGGTTACATGCAGGGATACCTCCTGCTCCCCCAAATCAGGGAGAGGACTCTGCAAGTGAAGGGACACTTGCAGGACATATGACAGGCCATGAGGCTGTCACCTGAACTTGCAGTATCTGCAGCCAGCGGGTTCCTGGCATGCAGAGCACCGGGCTTTGCCTGGACACCTTTGGTGCCCTCTGCTGCTAGGAAGCTCTTTGGCTTTTTCTGGCTTGGCACAGCCACCCGTGCGTGACAGTGACTGTGGTATGTGTTCCTTCTTGCAGATGTAAAGCCCTCTAATGTGTTGATCAATACGCAGGGGCAGGTGAAAATGTGCGATTTTGGCATTAGCGGTTACCTCGTTGACTCGGTTGCTAAAACCATGGATGCAGGATGCAAACCCTACATGGCTGTAAGTTGAGCTGCGTGTGAGGGCTGAGGAACATGAGCCTGGGCATCGGGTCATCCTAAAGGGGGAAGGATCAGCCTCCGGCATGTGTTCTGGGGACTTGTTTTGGAAGATGTATCCCTGAAGTTACTCGTAAAGGGGCAGAGAGGAGAGACAGATCTCCTGGGTCAGATCATATCTCCTGGGCACAGCTTCTTGCTGCCTTATCATCTCCCTGTGACCTTGGGGAAGGCTCTGTAATTACTCTGTGCTGCATTTTTGCTGTTTGCCCTGTGGGGACAATAGTACTTTCCATCAGGGAGGAAAAACAGTCCCCAGGGATTGGGTCCCTCAGACTCCTCCTGGGACCTGCTATTCAGGGTTCACTCTCCGTGGAGCACTTGCAAAGAGTGAAAACAGGGCAAGAGAGCTGGGGCTTGTCACCCCCTGTGTGCCAGATGTGCCAGCTCAGCTCCACCACCCCAATCCCTGGTGCAGGTACCATCTGCTTCTGGTGACCCATTTCACTGCCAAGGATGTGGGACCACATCTGGCCCCATCACAACCAAGAGAGCAAGCTGGTGGCATGGGCTGAATGGTCCTGGCCTGCCATCCTCAGAGACCCATCTGAGGTCAGTGGGTCCTGGGGGGGGGGCACTGCACTGGCGCCATCCCTGTTCCTCAACCACCTTTGTGTCTATTCACAGCCTGAAAGAATTAACCCGGAGCTGAACCAGAAGGGGTACAGCGTCAAATCTGACATCTGGAGCCTGGGGATCACGATGGTAGGGTGACCTGGGGGCTTGCAGTGATGCCAGGAAGGTTCAATGTTGTTTGTGGGTTCATTTTCCTCCCCATAGCCCCCCTGGCACTGGTGGCACCGGTTCCGTGGGAAGATGATGGGGTGGAAATGGGAATCAAGCTTTGCACGGGGTTGGGAAGGAGGAGGATGGAGCAGCTTTGTCAACTCCTTGCTGTCTTCGGACGCATTGGTGGGGTGCCAGTGGTGGGGACAGCCCTGATGTGGTGGCGATGGGCTGCCGGGAGATGGCAGCATGGGCTAAGGCGAAGGCGCCTGTCGCCTTGGAGCAGGTTGGCTTTTAAAGCACAGAAAAACACTCCCGACACTTTGCGATTAGCAAAGTCCCCCTCAGAAGAGGAGGGATGGGTGGCATCTCCCACGCAGCGTTTAGGGGGAATCCATCTGCTTGCAAAGTCATTTTAAAGCACAATTATCCTTTGAGATGTGGCGTTGTTTTTAACTTCAAACCAAGTCTAACACCAGAGTATTGAATAGGGAGACTACCAGATCTCCTCCAGCCTCCAGGTTAAACAAGATGTTATGGCCAAGTGGGGTGAGGAAACACCGTGTATTTGTGCCTCAAATAACACACCCAGGATGGGCACATGGGGAACGTGCGGGGAAGGAGGGCGAGATGTGGGGTGTCCGCTGTGGGGCTGAGGTTTGGGCTCTGTCTCTGCAGATC